GATGAAGGTGTTGCATATAGAACAGAAAGTACAAAATTACTTACAGACCTAATGAATGACAGCTTACAACACTCCTCTTCTTAGTATCTGCTGTTTACTTCCGGAAACTGATAATTTCCCTGTATCGTCCTTTTAAAACAACATTACATCGAAGATCATCTTTTTGAACTAGTTTTTCGATTACAGACTGCCATTTTCTTCCCAAATTGATAAACCGCTGGACAAGAGCAACTTTTTCAACCGTTGCCATGATTGAATGTTTCCAAGCTACGCAGGTGTTTACTTGAGAGACTTAGTGACCTTATGGCGACGCCATCTTTCCTTTTATGGAATATATCTCCTCAGAAGGAAATTTTCTCTTTGCTCTGATTGGTGATAATTTAAAAAAAGATGATTTCAATTGCACGTAAATTTGAAGGTAATAAGTGTATTGCATTAATTATCTGCTCGGGATCACAGTTCCATACTATGGAAACCTCCTTTCACTTTCATTTGAGGTGCAACAAATTGCAATAGCGTTGTCTTACAAAAATGTTAAAACACAAAAACAGAGAGAGCCAAAAACGAGTTCTTTAGCAAATTGAAATTCCCGCTGGCTATGTGCCCACAACCCGAACAGTTGTCAGAGAATTTCCTCTGAAATGTCTAATTTAATATAAATTAATGCTAATACCGTTTGGTTATGCTAATTTCTTTTACTTTTTTTTTTTTTTTTATCATAACGTCCCTGCAATTAGATGCATAGTACTAAAAAACGAAACAAAACAAAAAACAGAACAGAAAAAACAATTCGATTCATTATGCAAAGGAAGCAATCCAATGTTTTTTTTGTTTTTGGGTTTCTTTGTTTGTTTTTCTTCGCCAACAAAATTGCTTTATAAGCCATACAATATTCATCTCCGACATTACTGCCTCTCGAGACTCCAAATGGTATCTTACAGTTTGAAGACTGTCTTCAAATGTGCTTAAAGTTGGATGTTACTGGCCGACCTGGTCTTTGTTTCATTCCTCATTTTTCCCCTATCTCTTGGAAACCTGAATGAACAAATACGCCCTACACAAAAAGCCACTCTTGACTCAAATAATAAATTTTCTTTATAGGAATTTTCTTAGGTTATAGGTAATATTTATGTTGAAGCATTTACTTATCATTTGTCTATTTATTGTTTTCAGTTTGGTGCAATTGCTTATTTGACGTGTGTTCTCGGCTGACTGATTCGTTTTCAAAATGGCGGCTTCTACAATCAAGGTCGATCAATTTTCACCACCTTAAAAATAGTTTTGGACGGTTGCATTACTTTTTGATAAGTAATAAGTTATTGTCAGTGTTTAATTTTCATAGGTGCAGGAGGCATAATTCATTTTTAAATTTCCATTGACGTTCGTGGCATATATATTGTCAGGAAGTTTCTCCAAAATCATCAAGGATGACGTAAATGACTCATTTTATTGCCTTATGATGGTCATTATGGAAATATTTTCATATTTATGACACCTCGTTCTTTGTCTTTCCTTTAGCAATCAGAAATTAAGATGAAAAAACTTTTAAGCCAAGTTACGCCGGCATTTCTGTCATTTAGTTTTATCTAAGTATAGTTTTTACATATAGCCCACTGAAATAGCTATTTCACCACCAGAAATATCGTTGAAAAGTGAAAAATGAGGTCCCCCCATTTCGTAAGATACGGGTTTAAAAATTACACCACCTACGCAGAATTGCGGATTTAGAGGGTTTGCCTTCGAATTTCAACGTCGAGATCTTCGGTTACTTCAAATGCATTAAATCAGCTTCCTAAAATATCTCACCTACGATGAAGTTGATAAAGCTGGGATATACCTTCAGTCTCCCAACCATAGACTTTTCCTTTTTGGCCGTGAACGCCAGTTAGCACATGCATTTCCATGCCAAAATGTTACAATTCTAAGTGCTAAAGCCGTATTTACAGTACAACGGTTTTGCCATAAAGCTTGGAAAAATCACTCAACTTTTCCTTCACAGAGATATCAAGCATATTTAGAAATGGTTAAATTCCATCTAAAAGCGAACACTTTACAACCTAACTTGACGTTTATAGTTATACAGTCAATATACTATACAAACCATAGGAAGAAAACATGCTCCCAAGCTGTTGCTATCCACACACCTTCTGTTGGTCCTAAAAGGGCGCTTTTTTAAATAAAAAGATTCTTATATGGACTTGTCATTCGTCTGACGCTAATTTTTAAAAAAGGAAGTTGAAAATAATATCCTCGTCGAAATTACATTTTTATGTAGCCACATTTCTTCTAGCGTAGGAGGACCTGTTACGCACTGACGTCATTTATAGAGCTGACAATCATGCAATGATGTCACAGATTGACGCCTTTGAGACCGTTGTAAGCTGACAGGTTCTTGAAGTAAAACTCAACCAACTATGAACTTCAACGCATTTTACAGTCTACGCATTTTACATATCAATACTCACAGGACGTTTCTCCTACTGGTTATTGATACGGTGATATTTTGGTAAAGTTTGATACTGGCTGTCAATTTCTAACATTACTTTATAATGAGAATTGAACTGAGTAGAGTGAACAAGTTGGTATATCCCCGTTAGCTCTGTATTTGAGTGAAGTTGCACGAGCCACTCATTGCTTAGTAAAAAAAAGCATACCTGTACATGTCGACTCTTCAAAAGAAATGTAGCTCAATCAGCGAAGCCCTGATCTGGTAAATTCTTTACAAGTGTTTAAAGGCGCAGCGAGTCTTAAACTTGAAAATTTGCATGAAACTGCTAAATTCGACGAATACACTAGCGTTCAGAGGCATAATTTTCATTTGACAATGATTTAGAAAAAAAAAAACGCCAAAAGTGAGACTATGATTTTTTCCGCAAGCTCTTCTAAATTCCCATACCTTGCTCTCAAGCCAGCTGACAAATGTATCGAAATTTCCGCAAAAAAAATTTTTTCTTCAGCCTGTCGGATCCGATTAGACTGATTTTTGCCTCGTCTGTTAGCAATTGAGATCTTATTGTCTCTTAAATACGCCTGCGCCATCTTAATTCTCAGAGTCTATAAACATCACGTTTCTCAAACCAATATGCAGACGAAAGGCTATTTGTTTTGCATATTTTAAACAATAAAACGTATTCGAACATCTTTTCTCGCCTCTTAGCTTAGAGTATCTAACCAGACAATTAACATAACCAGAATTATCTTGATAATCCTTATTCAAATTTTATACGCTGACGATTTAATTAACGGAAATTAGTCGCGTTAAATGACAAGATTATTCGTTATTCCTCGCCTGCAGTTGTTGCAGATGAAAAGACGAAAATGCTAGTTTGCGGTTTACTTGTCCCTTCCCTGACGAAGAAGTTCTCAAAGGAAATGATAGTTATTTCTTTTATCTGTATTGAAAAAATTTGATAAGGAAAAAATGCATAAATTATAGATTTGCTCTGCGGCCAATTAAGGTTTCTTTTTCTTCCCCGTCGGGGCATACAGTACTAAAGTAATCCTTGTCATCGCTTTATTTTAAACGCATCCTTTGATTCTTTAAGTTAACGTCGTTGGAGTTTCAAAAAGAAATGAGGTCAGGAAATCATAGTGCAAGTCGCGTAATCCTTGGGAGATTTCCCTAATCTGGTATTCTTAAACTACACAATTTGGCACCTGTAAATGTATACAAATCGAAAGCTTTCCTAACCTAAAATTAACCTTTTTTTTTTGTCTATTCGTGTCTTTGGTTATTTCTGTTTTAAATCATAGTTTCATTTATTCCTTTATTTTCCCATAACGCACTGCGAAGTTTCTTTTCAACTTGGAAAGCATAGCATCGATTAATTTCCTTTAATAGATTGGTTGAAAATTTTTACTGCAAATGTTTTCTTTTTCTTTTTCAAAGCAATATTTTCGGCAAACATCGTGAAAGGTTTATCCTGTAGTAGAACACAATAGGCTAAAAAGCCTGCCGATCGTTTTGGCGCGTTTGGAAAGTAGCCTGTTGTTTTGAAAGAGGCCTCTGTCAAAATTATCTTTTAAATTGCGCTTCCTTTTAACACTGCTTGTTTTCCTCCTTTTTTTGGCAGAGAAAGCACCAGCTATGGCGTTTACGTTTCGTAAGCAGATGGTAGTAAATGACTGACGAGTGCGAAGGTAACTTCTATTCACTTTCTAACACTAAATTAACCCAACTGTCTCAAATTCAACGAATAATCGAAAAAATTTGCGCTTAAAAGAGAAAACAAAAACAGTTTTAAATCGTTTCTTTGAAATTTACATCGCATTACTTTGACGCATTTCTCGTTGAACATAACCATATTTTGCCAAAAAAATTAAATGATGATTATAATAATGATATTCTTTTTCTGCCAAACTGTAACTAATTTGAGCTTTTTCAAGTTATTCTTCACCGCTACATCTCGCTCGATTCCAGATGAGTGCTTGCTCGTATAAACAAGTCAAAAGCATATTTGCAACTTTTTATTTCTCTTCAACAGCTACCAGGAGAATTATACAAAATGATCGCATTTACTGCAATTAATGGAGGGGTAGAAGCAAAAATGGGTTTAATGTCCAACTGCTTAATGTTAAATGTGCAAATGCTATGAAAGAAATACGTTGATATCATTAACGTTTTCATGTTTAAGTAATTATTTATGAACGTCACATGCAGTGTCTTTGTATTTCTACTAAAACGAGATCTTTTTGGCGGTTTTCTTGCCGCTAAATACCACATGTAAGTTCCTGGGGTCTGACAAATAACTGTTAAGTTATTGCAATGAGCATTATTTTTTGACCTGTTAAATATAATTTCAACAGCATGAAGGCGTAATAACCGATTTGTATGTTAAACGACGCCACAGTCTTTTCCAAAACATGCTAAAGGGCCAAAAAAATAACGATAGATATACCTGCAGTGGTCAAACATGTAAAATTTCGAACATAACAGTTCAATGAGGACATTATCCGGTAGGCTATTCTTAAATGATCTAGCTTAAAAGCGAGGGACTCACCTTTCGTTTGGAAGTACTCTTGTTCGTTTTCATCGGAGATTTGTCAATTAAGTTCATCTGCTGCAAGTGACAAAAGACTGTTTTTACTTCGTAATACATACATTTGCGATCGGTATCATTATATTCAGTTGTGAATAATTTACGTTTTGACAGAGTGCCAAAGTGATTTTTTTTAACTCGGTCTTGATAGCGAGATTTCTGACCAGCAATGAGCACCCAAAAAAACAGTTCCGGAAGAAAAGCTCAAGCAAGTTGGACAAGAACTCATAGCACTCTGAATTTTCTATACACAAAGGCTGTCGTAATCTGCGTAATTCCGCGACCTAATTTGGGTGTTAATGTGCAAATGTATGGAATTCTATTGGTCCATTGTGGAATTGGTGATAAAAAAAAAATACAACAGGTTGTTAGACAACAACAGCAATGCGAGGTTATTTCACAGGGTATTTCGTGAAATCTCGTTCTCACTTTAAGACATCTGTCTCAGGCATTATGGGATTACTCGGTTGGATTTTCTTTAAATTGAATGCCACATTAAAATTTTTACGTTTGTATGATATATCAAGACTTAAGATGCTGAGAACCATGTCAAAACATATCATATTTCTGACGAACTTCAGATGCAGAATATGCCACACGAGGTGACGACTTTAGCATCCTGAATCAATAAGAGTTAACAGAAGAACACTAAGTTATCATTTTACATCTAAAACGATAAGGCGAAATTATCAAAATTCTGACTCAGGTTTCGATAAAAAAATGTATTCGTATCCAAAGAAAGCGTTTGTATTTGTATAAAATTATATTACAAGATTCTGAAAAATGGACCTCATTCTCTACTCGATGAATAACGGAAATTGCAGTATTTTATAGTTTTCTGAAAAATGTTGTCTGAAAGTGTTCAAAAATAATACTTTACGGTGCATTACAGGAGGAAAGTACGAGATGCTTTACTTGCCTGCACTTTCGCTGTTTTTGGTGCTTAAGCTTTGTTGCCTGTCAACACTGAGGAAACGGTAAAATATTGGACCGTATAAGAACGTGACTAAACTATATATTTACGTATGAAGTGTCATGCGAGCGGCCTGTGTTTTTCGAATGACCGTTCTGAAACACTAATACAATAAAGACCCCAGGCCCTGTTATTCGCATTGAAATACGTCATCAGTTAAAATAGCCATATTCAATTCGCTGGCGTATGATTTGTCCGGCACGTATAAAACTTACAACGACGTTTGTAATTTAGAGAGAAGATCAGCGAAAAAAATCAGCCTTCGTCCATTCGAAACGACACACCGTACGTTAATAGGTTTCAAAGGCAGTATTTATTTTCACGTATAGATAAACCCTACGTTTATCGGATGCCCTGTGCTTCTAAGATTTATGATCGTTGAGAAATAGCAATCACTAGTATCGTTTGTGATCCGGGAGACACGGCATTTGCAGTTTCCAATTTTCCCTTTAAATTTAGTTTACAAACGTCTCGTCATGAAATTTTAAGTCGTTCGTCACGACCTGCGAGATAGTGTCACCATGAAAGGAATCACAAATTGTAGATTGGTAAGATTGAAAAACAACAACATGATTTCAGGTAAAAGAAAAAATTTCAATATGTTTGAGCAGGGTGTTTGAGTGCGTGTGATGAAGGATGTCAATGAGTAAATAACAAATTCATCACAAAACTCTACAAATTTCTATTTATTGAACTGAGAAACGTCATGTCATATGTAAGACTTAAGACTACTTTTCGATGATGAGCTCTAGGAAACTTTTATCAGCTAACACTTTGGCTAAAAATTGCCTAGGTTTAGATTTAGGCATTTCATTTAATGACCTTTAAAGTTATTCTGATCACACCTCTAACACAGATTTGTCCACTAATCTTCCTTAGCGCGAGAAAAAAGAAAAGCACACCATAAAAATATTACTGCCAAAATATGAGCGAAAACTGAAAATAACACCTGTAGTTGACAAAAGGCTGGCAAATGGCTAGAATGTGAGGCTGAGGAGTTATCAGAAAGGCCAATATTTCTCATAATGGTTGAGGAAATGTTTCTTATCTTCCATGAAGAAATTCAAATATCAGTCTACAAAATAAAAAAAATAAAAAAAATGAAAAAATATTTTTGCCAGCTGAGGGGGAAGTCTTGTCTCTCAATTGTAAACCTTTTTGTAGTATTTCAATTCCTCAAGGCAGACACTGAAAATTAAGTGACCGAAACTTCTGGCAATGTTTCCTATTGAGTTAAACTGTCCTTTCACCATATTGTAATGTTTTAAGATCATCGGTAAGGACATGTGAGAAGCTTGATACCAAAAAGTGAAATTTGATAAAATTTTAAAAATTGAAAAATCGTCGTAAAAACCTGCAAAACGCGCAAAAAACGCGCATACAGCGCTTCCTCCGAGTAGTTTTCTTCAGCTTTAAGATTGTCTTAAGAATTAAAGGTCGCTCATTGCTTGAATATTTCAAATAGTCGGGGCTTTCCAAACACATTCTCCCCATGGCCCCAAGTCTTTCCCTTCTTAATTTCAACCAAATCCACAACTCTTTTGACAAGAACACGCGCACGTCTTTTTCTGACGGGAATTTTGGAGTGAAATTTGAAAATATGACGTCTTACGACAGAAAATTCTGTCCATCACAAAGTGTGACAGTAATACATGCAGATTCGATTCCGTGATCATCAAGCCGCTGTACGGAAATACCCCCAACCGCTGTTCCGAGCCCGCGCAGTAGGTGGCTGCCATTCGCCCCAAGGGTACCCTGGAGGATATCATAAAGAAAGAAGATTGAAGGAAAAAAAGATAACGTCGACTGTTGTATAGGTTACAGCTTTTGATATAAAGGTCTTTAGGCCCCCCGTATTGCTTCGTCTCATGATTAAAGGCCCGCATTTAAGTCGTTCCTTCCCCATAATGACAGACAGTCTAGCAAAGGGGATTTTTGTAAACTCTTATTGTTAATTGGCTGTTTATTTTGAAAAACATTACTTAAAATTAAGGTAATCGTGCTTATATTTATATGAAAGGTAATACCTTTTAAGTACATGCAGACTAATTCCTGTGAAGATTGATCTCCTAAATCTACTATTCCGACAGTTTCTTCTTCCTTAACTTTTCACTCATTCATTATTTACCTATTCACTTTTCTGTTTCCTTTATTTTGAAGTAAGCCAAAGAAAACTTAAACCCACTTCAAAATAGACGAACAAATAATAGGTCGGCATCTTTGTGAGCGAACTGAACGACGATAAATTTCTCTGGCGAACTTTAGCTTGCTTCTTACAGATTCAATTTTCATAAAAAGAAGTGTTGCCTAGTTCAAGATGGAGGAACAAGTGGCAGGCCACCTTAAATGTTTGCCGGAAAGTGAGCTTTGGCTACATATAAATTTCCAGTCTGTGTTTTTTAATCCCCGAGCTAATCACGAAAGATATCAAACGCAGTGGTGATGAGCTAGGGGACACTCAGGAATGATCTTCATTTCCTTTTACCTTGTAATGTGGTATTTGACACCAACGCAATGTATATGCAGTTTCAGTCCAACCTGGATAAGTCGTTTAAAACGAAAAAAAAATGAAGGTCTGTGAAAAAGTATCTCAAATTGCAATTGATGAGAATTCTGATAGAATATAAAACAGTGAGTAGTCATCCACGTTTTTCATATCCAAAAACTGAAAACATTACGTTCTAACTTGCCTTGCAGCTCACAGAATAGCGATAACCATGCACATTTGTATTCGTCATCCTAAGTCATGATTTTTTTGCGCATTGTCGTTCCCTTCGAAAAAGAAAATTAACGACGTTCTAGTTTTCATAATTGTGATTCGATTTGCATGTATATTCAGCTTGCGGTGAACTTAGGAAATGGAATCCAATTTCCGTTCTTCAAGATTCTGTAGTGCGCCAAATGTTTTCCAGTAGTCTTCGAAATTAATGGCATTTTACATATGTAATCACTACAAATACTTGGAAGAGTACGAATTCAACCCCATAGCAGCGAAAAGAATCGAAAAAATCTCAAATAACAAAGTAATAACGGTACCTTAGAGTGAAATTTCCTTTCTGCGTATTTCGTCTTCAGAACAGCACGCTTCTACTTGAAATGACAGACTCCTCCAAATACCCGCATAGTAATTTATCGACCGATTTGGCACTTGGATTGAAAACTACGATGAAGCCATCCCTGCGGGCATGAGCGAGCATAAATTTGTGTCTTTCTTGCCTTTGTATAATTCTGCCTGATTCACGGCTTTTAATGTATGAAATGATTACACTACCGCCACTCTCCTCTCTTATGACATATCACATGAAGAGATAACAAATTATTTCAAATTCATAATCGAGAATACACATTGATTTCACGCAGTTATTGCCTGCCGATGAATACGTAAAATAGTAATAACATTCTCCTGGATAAATATTTGATGAATATGGCTTTTGTGGCCCGCAAAATAAACCATTATTATGATATTTGAGACGATAAGTTAAATATGATCAGCCCTCTTAACTTTTTTCGCTAGATATCACCTTTAAATTGACATATTTTCCTTCTTTATCAGGGATGGACTGTCTCCCAACGAGCAATAACTTCCATATCTCATGAAACCCAGTGATAAAACACAATAAATATTTACTCATGTAAAAGGACAGGTTGTGAATATTTAATTTTACAACTTCTAGATCCATAAAGGTTTTTCTCCCTCAAGGTGAAGATATTGCCTTCACTTAGTACATTAGACTGGATTATCCACAAAAGCACTCATTTGAATTTCTACGGTATGACATTTTCATGAAATCGACTCGAAAGAAAGTCAGCATCCAGAGTAATCATCGACACAAATTAAAATGAAACTTTCATTAGAGTTAATTAAAATTTGCTCCATTTTCTCCTGACCGGACCCACAAAGAGTGTTTATTTCGAGTTTCTTTATCAATTAAAGATTGAACCAAACGCACGCTTCATGACGCGAAAAATTTTAAAATTTTAGTTTGCGCGTTTCGCCTTCTAATGGAGTTTTTGCAGGAAGTTGTACTTAAAAAGTACACGGTTTCAATGCTGCTGATCACTCCACTAAAAAGAAGAGTTAAATTAAAAACCCGAAATGATTTTTAATTACAGCATTCCGTATACCACTGCGATGAGATAAGAAGGCCCTGGAAATGAGGAAGTCATGAATTCTAACAGTTCGGTTCATGGCTGGACCAACAAGGGTCTTTCTAACTAGTAACTGTGAGAGAAGTGCTCAATAATTCTACGCGACCAAACAAAAATTGCAGATCATCAATTCATGATTGATTTCGATATCACAGCCCGAATATTTCATAATGAATCAAGAAAAGGGCTGTCAACAAGGCGAATGCAAACTTTTCTTGACCCTCAGTTTTAGGCGTCAGAATCTACCTTAATCATAAATTTCAGACGCATAGTCTGAGAGAAAGGCCTTTGATAGATAAATTACATATTCTTTTATGAAAGCGTCGCCGATACAATTCATTCATTTAGCTACCGTTAAAGATGTAACGCAAAAAAAATATGACGAGGTCCTCCAGCGACAAATGATTAACAAGTGCAGCAAAGCGACAGTTTTCAATTTCGCAAATGATTACTATGCAAGACTGATATAACACGTATCAGTCAATTTTTTCCGTAAAATGGGTCACGGACCGTGTTGATCCCAATTCTATCAAAAAAAAGCTGGACATTTGCCAATTCATGAACTACTCCTTTTAAGTTCTTAGCGAATTGGATCACTAAATATTTATCCAAATCAGATTCCATAATAAACTAGAATTCGCCTGTTATCAACAGCGCAATCAAACGTTGCACATGCGCACGGGAATCAAATTTGGCCAACCGCGCACCAATTTGCGTTCAAAATCCCCAAAGAAAACATAAGATACAACCGCTGTTGGCCAAAATATGCGAAGAAAAATTGAAACATTCAGATACCTGCAAAACGAAACATAAGTAGGGAAAAGTGAAGCTCTAAACTTTTTGAACACAAAGCTTATCTAAATACGGGTATCCTGTTGAGTTACTATTTGTCTTGAGCTTTATCAAAAAAGTTACAAGCTGTTAAAAGACCGTGACTTACTGGCTTGTTTGTTTTTTATATCTTTAGTGATACAACTTGGTTCTGACAGTCTGAGAGAACGCTATCCCTTACAACGTTCACACATGCGTAGACGTTCGGCCGCTGTGTTTCTGAGATCTGTTAGTCCACAGTTTCCTCCAAAAAGTGGCTTACCTTGTTGTGTGGAATAACCTTTGCGATTTTTCAGCAGGCTTGAGGAATGCCGATGCATGTCACAGCTATAAACACTTTTACCCGTGTCAACATAAGACCCTCATGGCGTTCAAGTGAAATGTGTTGGTTCCCGCTTAAACCGCTGATCAAATGCTTGCAGTCAGCAGGCAATAGCAACACTTAGAGCGCCGCAAATAGCCCTTATCGCATTTACGCCCACTGTACGAGAGCTCAGCGGACTTTGAAGTTCGAAACGGGGCTATCGGGTCACACAGGTAAAACTTTCAAGTAAAATCGAAGCAAACGGCTACGTTTGGAGGCATTTTTATTCATTTTCTTAAGGATACAACATGTTCTCGTCGTGGTTAGACATTGTATTGCGTACAGGTGCAAGTCTATTCAGTGAATCGGCAACTGACGAGATCAACAAGATTAGGATCGAAACCGCGGTCTTGCCAAACACGTTCAACTATCAAACTAGAGGCGAACAAAACGCACATAAAAAACCTCTCAAATAAAGAACTTACAAACGACCAGATTAATTTACTGGCAAAAGGGCTTAAATTCATTTCAACACCCGCTACAAAACAATAAACAGATCATACAACAGCTATTATGTGACTTTGATCAGTTCGCAAGGAGAATGCGTCTGATTTACATATTCCGAGGGGAGGACAAAAAAACCCATCCCTGCCACGTCAAACCTACATGGATACCACCAATACAAAAATCAGTAGCCCTTGAAAGCTTTTTAGAAGAGGTTAAAAGTGACTTTTCAGAAATAGGATTTACAAAGCCAAAAGATAATTTGCCTCCGGCCGAACGCAAGGCGCTGAGGGCCTTGAAACGTGACTCTGAGTTAAACCTCAAAAAGGCCGACAAAGGAACAACAACCGTAGTCATGAACAAACGTGTCAAAATTTTACCGTTCCTTTCCGAGATGACAGCCATTCTTTCAATCTTCCTTTCGTGATGCCAGGACAATTACCACTAAGAATTTTAACCTTTTCCTCTGCAGAAAAAAACACAGATTCGAGAGTTATATGGTCAGACATGGAGTGTTTCTGGTGTTTCTCGAAAAACGTTGACCCGATAACCTCGTCCTGAAACTGTAACTCCGCGGACCCTTTGCATTGCAGACACAAATGCGATAAGGGCTATTAAAATGTGCTAAATCATATTTTTGCATGCCTTATATTGAGCGTTTCCATGAAAATGAACCGCTGACCACTGGGCCTTTACTCCGAATCAGTAAAGTACTTTATATATGCAGCGTGAAAGCGATGGACAAAATTATTTGGCACAATTCAGAATTAATGATAAGCCAGGAGCGTTTACTTGTAATTGACAAACGTGATGAACTAAATATTTGGCATAATTAAGAGCTAAGTCTTATGCGTCTGTTTTAACGGCACTGACACATTGACTTATTCTCGTGGAAAAATAATGTGTATTCCAAATTTCTCATGTTAGAATAATAACGAGTGGATGATATTCTTTCATTCAAACTGTATCTGATCTGCGGTGGTCTGACTCTCATCTTATTTTTTATTTATTTATTTATTTTTTTTTTCTATTACACTAAAAATTGTTTCATATTTATTTATTTATTTATTTGAGGTGTGGTAGACTTGCCTAAGGTATGGCGACCAAACAGATCACCAAGAAAAATCAACCGGTAACATGTAGACTTTGCATATGAATCTTAGACAAGGTTTACACTAGAGGAAATTGTTCCGGATTCATGATGAATCCGAAACGGTTTAGTACCGGATTGATGTTGCCGTTTACACGAAAGGGGACGAATCCGAAATAAAAACTCCCCGGTTTGGTGGTGTCTCCGGAGATTTTGAATCCGGAATTTAAAGTGGAAACTTTGAATCCGATAACTTTTGAATCCGGAAAGTTTTTTTCGTGTAACCGCTTTTTTTTCTCGAATCCGGATATTATTTCCGCCTGCAATCTTTTGAGTTTGCGGTGAAACCAAAATGGAGGATCTGGTGCTAACATTGCTGGCGGTCTCCGGTTGCCTAATCTTGTTGCAGGTTCAGGCGATAAATTTTATCATGTGTACYGCAGTATTTCTGAGGAAACGCAAATTATTATTGCAAGGAAGTTTAACGTCAGCCACACTTAATCGTCGACGACGTAGATGGCAGGATCGAAGACCGAGACAGTTTTGGGTTAGGCCAGGTCGAACGAGTGCCTGGTGGGACAATATGATGGGAAATGTCACGGTAGCTAGCGAGTGGAGAGAAAATTTAGAATGTCCCACCCTACCTTTATCAGAACTTTGTGAAGATCTTAGGTCCCTTGTTGAGAGAAAATCAGAAAAAAAAACCGGAGTTGTTGTCGTGTGTAAACGGTCAGGAATCCAAACATCCTTTCAGTGTAAACGCCTACGAATCCAAATACTCCAAAATTGATGAATTCGGAAACATTTACGAATCCGGAAAACTCTCCTCTAGTGTAAACCTAGCCGAAGACATCCGATCGTTTTGTGAAATGCAGTGAAAAATGACCCCACCGCTAAAGTGATAAATAATTTTTGGTCCAGTTTAGAGAGACTGAAAACTCACGTAATTCAAGAAGAGTAAAACTTTGCAATAACAATTCTAATACGTGGGTTGTTGTCAATTTATATGCGCGTGTTAAAATTAGTTGAAGCCTTTGTCGATGCGAGGTTCTGAAACATAAACCCGGCGTTACATAACAGGTATAAGAAAGAATTTATTAAGTTTAAAAAAGCGATTGCCTACCATGTGAGTATGATCCCTTGAAGCGTAAGAAATGGAATCCAAATTTATTCATGGATTATCGAAAAAAAAAAACATTCTCCAGCTTGAACTCAAAAGGAGACCAGTACCTGTGATCTGTTCACATGAAAACATCGAAGTGAAGAGCTGAGCTAATATAAGCGGTTACGCATACGCGTTAAGAAAATATCATGTTTTTCATACCTTCCTTCAAGCTAATAAAAATATTTTTCTTACCCTTCCTCAAAAAAGATTCCAACTTTCTCCCAAGAAATTTTTAGGAAAAAGCAACTGTACTGGATGAATGGAAATGGTTAAAGATGTGACATCCTTGCCTGCTTTTTTTGGTCTAATTAAAATGTCATTTTCTTCCGTTTTAATGTGTTTCTGACTTTCAAGTGACAGATGATTGATGTGTTAACAATTCAGTCGCCAAATCAATCATTTTAATTCCATAATTTGTACCGCGTTAGTGATAAAATATGACAATAGAAGGCCTCAAGAAGAGATAAAGAATTGCAGTCGTGAATTTGTCTACAACAAAAATGAATGTTATCTACACGTCTTTACACTTTGATTGTTGCTGTTCTCACAAATAAATTTGTGAGTTCAATTTACTTTGCTTTGTTTGTTGTCAAAAACAACTGGTTAGCCTACAAAATATTCAATAATGAATGAATATTTTTTTATTTTTTTCCCTCTAATTATGTTCTAAAACTCACAATCGCTTTCTTCACACTAGAAGCCGTAACGAGTGTAATTTTATTTTTGTTGTCGTTGGTTTGTTTTTTTTTAGTGGTTTCATTAAGTTACCTTTTATTTCCCAAACAGTTTTGCCATTTCCGCTCGAGCGTGATCATTACCAAGGTAATTTTGGGGATCGAGAAGAAACTATCCAATTATCAACAACACGGTTTGGGTATATTACCATTTTTTCAATCAATTTTTTTTTCTATTTTTCTCTATCATTTGGAAACTATATAGTCTACAAATATAATGGGTTGTAGATGCAATTGTAAACGTTTACGTACTAATCGCTAAAACTAAATTTCAACAGTCCTAATTGAGTCCTTCACGCGTTTCTGATCAATAAGAGTGTGATCCAAAATAAAAACAATTCATTGAATGTCATTGTATCATGCTATACTTTCTCAAATAGTTTTAATGCAACTCACCCTTTGACCATCATTTTGCATCATACCCACTAACGGCGTCTAAAAGTGTTATACCAAAAAACTCCAGAGGAACTTCTTGATTTCTGGTCAAAAAATCACATATATCTTCCCCATGCGTTTAGGTATATCTGGAAATTAAACTCAGCATCAGTGCTCTGTAAAGAGTTCAAGCGATTTTTTAAAAATCACTTGAAGTTTTCATGTGCAATTTTACCTCAACCCTCGTTCTTGATGGGAAAAAGCCTTGAAGTCTCGAAAAAAAAGAGGTATAGGGAAGCACAGACCACAGTTTATATCTGACCATGTGCCTTTATATCACTTGGCCGCACGGGTTTATTGGGGATTTACAGAACTAGTTTCCAGTCTATCACACAATCATTGAAATCCCCTTCCAGTCTTCTCCATCCTTATTTCTTTTCGCTCATTCTTTAATTTTTTCCTTTCTTTAGCTCATTTTTACCCTTTTAATGTTTACATTCCGAAAGAGCTTAATAACGTCTGCATGTATCATATATAAACGCTATGAATCCGCAATCGTTTTTCTGTACTCTACTTTGTGCAGTTTGGGTGATAGCATTTATTCATCAATATGGCGCTGATTTTAAAAAGTTAGAGCACGTAACACAAGTTTTTCTGGACCAATCACAGAGCAAGGTAAAGCAAAACCAGTGAGATCCGAATTACTTTTGTCACTTATTTGAAAATTGCTCTCTACAAAAGCTCTCGCCATGCAAACACTATAAAACTTTGTCAGACTCTTCTTAGTGTAATTTGCTTACATCAACTAAGTTCAAATTGTAAATTGGCCACCGTAAAAGTTTGAAGGCTGACGTTTCGAGCGTTAGCCCTTCGTCAAAGCGTTGATATAACCAAATTACCTTGTTACCCTCACCGACGCAGCAACACAATTTCTTAAGAAACTTAACCCTTTACTCTTAGTGTAATTTTATTGACCTATCCGCATGAAGTATGCCAAGTGTTACGATTCAGCAGGACAACCTCACGTCACTGTCAATAAAGTATCATTCCCTGAAACGTTGATCTATGTCTTTACACTCGCAAAACTAAGACGAGATTCAGGCCGGCTGCATGAAAATCAGAATCGTTAGACTCAAGTCTTCGAGAGTGTAAGACAGGATTAAACTAACAAAACGAATCCGCCTATATAGATCTTTTTCCAGAGACAATCTTGGGGATCATAAAAAAGTGAATGAGCAACCAATCCTGTGTCGCTGATTTTGTTCACGTTGAAATCACGTGCGGCGTCCTTTCGTTTTTACCTAAACATTTTAGTATAACAGGGACAAAATAGCATTATGTTAATATCTGATTGCATATGCTCTACCCCCAACAAAGGAAAAAGGCCCTGGGAAAGAGGTTGGTCATTAAATTCCCTAAGGAGTTCCTCGATCTGGTCTCTCGGCACCTTTCCTCATTTGCTTAATTTTCTTTTGCAAATCGTCTACATTGTAAACGCTGAGCATTTGTTTCTTGAAGATGTCCTTCTCTTGAATGATAGGTATTGGCAAAGCCACCAGTATGACACCAGCTACACAACATATGGCTCCTACAGTCTGACCCAAAAATGTGGCTGGAACCATGTCTCCATACCTAAAGCAAAAAAGAACGAAAAAAAAAGTTCGAAATCCCGAGGTCAGCGCACACTGAAATGATGCGTTTTTGACAAATAGGTTCCATGTTGCCATGCACCCTTTTACTAATAAATAATAGATGACGTCAAAGTGGTGTTAGAATTATACAGTAGCACACGAGTCGCAGCTAATTGTGTCCCTGATACTCCAACCATATTCTGACAGCGCAGACCCGCAAAACAACATGGAATCTATAAGTTTTATTTTTAAAATAGAGAAGGAAAACGTTGCTAACGATGACGTCATCTGTGTGTCTGTCCTCTAATAGATCATACGTACTAATCAATTGAAATGCGCCTATAACTTAGATTATTGTATAACAAACAGATTCTATGTTGGCATTCGCCTGCTCATTAATAGATTAAAAATGATGTCAAAATGTTGTAAGAATAAGAAAGGGGCACTCGCCGGGCGATGCTGAGGCAACTTAACTTATCGTAAAATTTTCATTGTAATCTATATATTTATACACCTGTTATATATTTATACACCTGGCTCCGGTTGTTCAAAGGGCGGATAACGCTATCCAGCAGATAAATCGCTATCCAGCGGATAAGTGTTACCAAAACGTACTGCGCTCTCCACCGGATAGAGATTTATCCAGTGTATAGCGTTATCCATCCTTTGAACAACCGGGGCC